GGCAAGAGGTCAAGAGGAAGGCCAAAAAGGAGATATATGGATGTGCTAAAAGAGGACATGAAGTTAATTGGTGTGAGAGTAGAGGATGCTGAGGATAGAGTTAGGTGGAAACAGATGATTCGCTGTGGCGACCCCTAACGGGAACAGCTGAAAGACGAAGACTTGTTAGGCTAAATTACCTGTCCAGCTGAAAACAGGCAACGTCGACATCATTCTTGAAACATTTGTCCCTCATCAAGGATTTCCATCTGGGAAAGGACACCACCAGTGTTTTTCCTCATCTTGTGCCGTCACCTATGCTGTTTCTTCTTGTCTTTGCTTCTTTGATGACAGGGATTCACACTGTCTTCTTTTTTCTGGTGTTAAAGTATAACTATAAGGAAGTTATAGTTCTTAAACTCATGACAGTGCTTCCTCTTGCTTCTTACTTCTTCTCCATCGTCCAAGCATCTCCAAACCCAAGCTGCTACTTCAACATGAAAATGTGAAATTCATGCTCTACAGCTAATGTGTGGTTTGTCCATTCTGGGCTACTGTAAAAAAAAAACAAAAAAAACATGCTGGCTCAACATGACAGCCTCCATGATTGGGGACCTGCTCCTATGTAAAAGGCTCATTCTAAACTAAACAAGACAGAATGACTCTTATTTCCTGGTGATTACACATTAATGAAAACAAAATGATTCATACTATAGCTTATTACTGCTGATACACCCTGCCACTTTAATGAGGAGAAAATTCTCATATTTTGCCATGTATTTTTTATTAATTAGTATAAGTTTATTTATCTCCATGCCAGATTTCACACATTTTTCAATCATTGTGAATATGCCCTAGAGTGAGCGGAGGAGATGCTGCTTGACATTTTTGGAGAATCATTTTGAGACTTTGTTTCTTTATAACAGTGAGTTGAAACACCTCGTCAGTTTAGGCCTTTTTGCGGTTTGAGGTGTACTTTAATCTCGACTGTCTGTGGTTACTGCAGGGAGAGGGAATGTGTGCAGTTACTGATAGGCTCCACCCTTCAGGAATCTGATACTGTATCTCTGTTTCCTCTCTGCCTGTGATAAGGTGGCTGGACACAATACAGAGCGAAAGAAACGTCCCAAGTCGAGGTTTATTTTCCTAACAAAGGGTGTCCCTGCTGTGAAATACGCAGGGGTCTAATTATTTGGCGTGCACAAAGTATTTTTTACTCTTTGATGAATGTTTTGCAGTTTTATTGTTGATATAATTGATTTTCATGTACAGTATTGTATTGCTTGAAAAGCGCTTTGCCAGTGTTGAAAATGGAGTTGATTATTGCTGTCGACAAGGTACTCAAAAGAAGCTGAAGAGAACAAAAACCCAGCCTTGGTCAGCCTTTTTCTTACACTCCCACCACTTCTCTCTTCACCTCTCACTTTGTCTTCACTTGAAACATCCATCTTCCTTTCTGACTCAGTTTTCTTTGTAGGTGCTTTAAGGAGCTGCACAAATGTCATGAGCTGCCAGGCTTGATCGGCTTTCCAATCTTATCTTGAAAGAGAGTGAGGGGAACAAGGATGTAGGGCAAAAAAAAAAAACCCAGTTGTCAGAAGCTGCTCTGAGGAACCAACAGGTTTCCACCACATTTACTTGATAACTCACAAGAGCAACTGCTCTGTTGTTGCTTAAGTCACATTTCAATGAAAGACTACATCCGCATTTTCGTATCTGTTCAGAAGGAATCTGTGATTTCTCTGTAATCACCTTCATGCACTTGCACCACAAGCCCCGGGGATATAGCGTTCAGTTCATGGTCATACATTTGCTCATTATGCGACTACATGTTCGTACAAAACTTGACAAAGACTGCCAGTTTGATTTGCTTTCCAAGTACATTCTTCATTCTTGTGTGGTTCAGTCTTCTTTTCTATGGCAGATAAAAATAGTGACTCAGTAATGGTGCATTAATATTGTGCTAGAGCAGTCTCTTACATAGTTGTCCTTACAGGAAACCAGTTCTGAGAAAATCCATTTTGCTAGAGCCTGGCATGACTCGATGTACTCCCCTGTGAAAAGGCTATAGTTACAGTGCTGTGGGTGCTTCTGGTAGATATCTGCATTCAGTGGATTTTTGTGGTGGTGGAGGTGCATAGTCTGAAGGAATGCAGTAGCCTTCCTTATCTGTAGACTGCTCGGTGTAAATACTTGGTGGAACTTTTGTAAGTTTATGTTCTGGGGCTTTAATCAGAACATTAACACTACTCCAATTATTTTGATTTCAGAAACAGCTTTTACTTTCATTAAATATTAAGATGAATGCTTTGCTGTGCGATGTCTTTGTCCTGTCTGTTTTGTGTATTGGTTACTCAGAATTATTATGCAGATCTAGAATAGCCTTCATCATTAGGCTTAATGCCAGGCATTCATTACCACTGGTACAGAGACTAATGACACTATTAATCAGCCATGAGTTTGGCAGTGGCAGAAGGAGGCTGACATCTCCTTACTGTAACAATCCTGGGTATGCACCTACAAGATGGATTGTGAGAAGGACAGCGAAAACTGTCCATCATGTCAATTACCTACCAGACAACGTAATTACCTGACAAGGTGTACCAAGACATAAACTACATCTAATGATTTAATCTCTCCACCCAAAGCACATTTCTATACATGGTTTACAGTATGACTTTGACTTGACACTGATTTCAGAATTATCTTTACTAAAGTGTGGGGTTCTGAAAGATCTTTCTATCAAGAGCAGCACTCAAACTCCCTAAAATGATTTCCCTGCCACAACAAAGTCACAGATAAGATTTTTCTAAATATGTCCACACATTCATGTACATGTTTAAAAATGTAGCTCAACTTCTGTCAAGTCTTATTCTTCTGTCAGTCACCAAGTGGAGGCTTGGCTCCACACGATGCAAAGCAGACTAATGTGACATTTTGGATAACAGGGTCCTGTAGTTTTTTGTATTGTATTTCAAACTGTTTGCTCTTTTAAATGGAAGGAAAGGGCTTTAAAGGGAAATCTGGGTACTTGTTGATGACTGTCAAGCCCTTTTTTTTTAAATTGTAGACTAATAGTGATATTTCATATTTTATTTGTGAGTTGTTGGCAGCATGAGGTTGTCAAGTAGGACCCTTCTGGGTTTTTAAGATGCACCTTCCAACCTTTTTAAGGCTTTTATAAATTATTAACTAAAGATATGGCAATCAGTCAATATGCATACTTAATTTCTAAACTGTTAATTGTCATCTCAGTAATTTAAACTCAGTTTTATAGACCTACTTTCATATAATCCTGCAGCATTTTCTCACAGCCTTTAAATGGGGCAATAACTGATTTTCTATGGATTTTATCTTATTTTTCTTTTTACCTTCTATCTTGATTGTACTGATGCCTATATGCCTAATGAACATTGAAATAAATCATTTAGTAAATGTATTAAAAAATTATTCATGCTGTCAGTTTGGTTAAATCGGTTTTAAATCCGCTACAGTCAGACATTAGTGTTGCAACTGAATACTAGGTATAATGACTTGAGGTAGTTTTCATTGTATGATAGTGTGATGGAAAACTGCAATTCCTACATTCTCATAAGCGCCCTACGGTAAATCAAATCGAACTACCAGAGCCAACCAAACAAACAAAAACACGTCTCTGTCTTAAGCGTGCTGACTTGTGCTCAGTCAACACTGTGCCATAAACGTGGAGCTGAGGTTTTCATAGATTTGTACAGATGCAAAACTGATAAACAGGATTATTGTGTGTATGAGTGAGAGTGTGAGTGTTTTTTGTACAGAAAAGTGTGTTTGGACCAAGTCATTCTTTGAAACAACCCCCCACTGCATATTCCTCATGTCGCTGCAATCACAGAAGTCAGTGAACTCTAGGAATCTGAAGTGTAAACAAATACAGAAGGCCAAATTAGAAGCTAGTCCGCATGTCATGACAGACAAATACACCAGCAGCCGCTTTGCGTTTCAGCACAATTTCTCTAGTAATAATACACCATTTTCACACTACACTTGCTGTGCTCCTTTTTTTAATTTCAGCTGTGCCCTCCAGTCAATTTCCCTGACCTGCGAACAAATGGAAATGCCATACAGACTGACATTCTTTCCGTGTGGTTTTGTTTCACCTACTTGCCAGGCAAATGGAAAGCAGATCTCACTGACTCTGACCGCAGATTGTTCCTCCAAAAAGAAAGGAAAAAAATGCCATTTGAAATCACAACATTTCTGTGGCTAGGCTGTGCAATGTGTTTAAAAAACCATCATCTGGTGTATTAGTTGAGAGATTCTGAATTGGGTTAGTTTTCACTTGTTTTGCTGTCTGAAATAAAACTATTCCTGAGCACCTAGTTGGTTTTCCTCTTCATCTGAGGGTCTAGAAGTTGACTTTGTTCCTGTGAGAACAACGTCTGCCTCCGCGTGCCATCGAATGCTGACCAGTTAATGAAATCTCACACAAAATGCAGACCAATCGCAAATGATTGTCAGGAAAGCCATCTGTGAGAGTTAAATGTATGACTCTATGTTGTGCCCCCACTACCCTTACATTAGAGAGCCGTGTGTAGCTTTGCATGTGTAGTCCCCCTTGTATTGTGCTTTTGTTTGTTAGCTTTGTCAGTGTAGTAGGAGTGTTTTATTTCTGTGGTTCCTTGTCACGCCAGAAGTCTTTTTTTTGTTATGTTGTGTTATTTTGTTTTTTCTTCTTTTTTGTTTCCTTCCTTTCTTTCGTCTCACTGTCATTTCCATTTCCACTCCTTGCCTCTCCCTGACCTGTTCCTTTTGGCCACCTCTGCGTGATATTTCTCCCCCCGCCCCCCATTGCTGCTGCTGCCTCCTATCCCTACACCCATCCTGCCATCCTGCCCTCTTCCCCTCCTTCTTCTTCCTCCTCCTACCAACCCAAAGACGTAGCCCTGCCCTCTTTCCCACCCCCCTCACTGACTCCTAACACTACTGACCATGTAACGCCAGGCTCTGGAGGTGTGGCCAGTCCAGCAGGGCCCACCCCGTCTGCTCCCAGAGATGTCGTGGCTTCACTGGTTTCCACCCGCTTCATCAAGCTGACCTGGCGCCCACCAGTTGAACCGCACGGAGACGAGTTAACCTACTCCATTTTCTACAGCCAGGAGGGCACTAGCAGGTAGTGCAAACAATTTCTCTGTAAGGCTGCCAGGAGGGCACTAACACACACATTACTACTAGTGACAGCAGGCCTGTGCCTGTGCAAGCGTCTCAGACCACTATGAAAATATCTAATTAAAGCAGTTACAGCATTTATTATTGTACTAAGTATTTATTAATTAAAAACAAACCTCCTCAAAGGATTACCTTTTTAACACGGAAATATAAACAGAAAAATCTGTTCAAACACTGATTTCATTTATTAACATGGACCTTCCCAGCATCTTATGTAGAAGATTAACCGCACACCGATCAGCCATAACATTATGACCACTGTCAGGCGAAGTGAATAACACTATCTGTTACAGTGGCACCTGTCAGTGTGTGGGGTATATTAGGCAGCAAGTGAACATTCAGTCCTTGAAGTTACATGTTAGATGCAGGAAAAACAGTAAAGTGTAACGATCTGAGTGACTTTGACAAGGGCCAAACTGTGAATGCTGACGACTGTATCAGAGCATCTCCCACACTGCAGGTCTTGTTGGGTGTTCTTGGTCTGCAGTGGTCAGTACCTACCAACAGTGTCTAAGGAAGGACAGACAGTGAACCAGAGACAGGGTCATGGACACCCAAGGCTGATCTACTGTAGATTAAATTTTTAAATTCAATTTGTACTTTGCACAAAGATTAAAATTAGTTTGAATCTTTGTTAAAATGGGTGAAAATGAGAAATACTGGACATTGGTCTCTATGAAGAGAAACATTCAGCGGCTGTAGTGCTGGTATCACACATAGAGGGGAAGCTGTTGACTTTGTCCAAACAGTTATCTCTAACTTGTCCTCACAGCCACAGTTTTCACTCCTTTTACATATTTTTATCACTATATGATAGACAAATCTGCGCTCTTCCTGACAGTGTAACAATGGAAACAAAAGATGCTCTTTGAGCCTCAGAGTGACACAAGCGCCAAACAAGTTATGGCTGATAGGTGTATATGATTTGAAAAAACTCAGAAGAATTTCCTTAGTTCTTCTTTAGCCTTTTAGTCTAGTACTTTTATGTTTTCCCTGTAAAATAGCTTTAAGTAATTTTTAGAGGTCACCTAAAACAGAGATGTTTTACTCTTTGTTTATGAGCAAACGATACTAATAATGTGCCCACAAACCAGTGTGGTCATTACTTTGTCCTACTGAAATGAATTATAATATGTGCATAATTAGTTAATTAGTTGATTAACTTATTAGTTGATACAGTTAACAAGCAAAAATGTCATCTTCTCAAAGGTGAGGTTTTGCTGCTGTGCTGTTTATAGTTATTGTAAATTGAGTATGTTTGGGGTTTTCACAGTTGGATGGACAGTCAAAAATGTATCAGTACTGAAGATAATGCAGTTACTGTAGCACTGTACAATGTACAGTACAGGGACATACTGTCTACCTTTACTGTCTCACAGTCCAGCAGTTCAGTTAAATTCAAAACAAGCCTTTTTGGCAAATGGAAGACATAAAATTTGTGAAATGTTCTCTTGCCTCTCTGTGTGTGTTCACATCAGGGAGCGAGTGGTAAATACCAGTCGTCCAGGGGAGCTGCAGGTCACCATCCAGAACCTCATGCCAGACACCAAATATCGCTTCAGGGTTGTGGCCCGCAACAGCAACGGCCAGGGCGAGAGCTCTGCAGCACTCAGAGTGGCCACCCAGGCTGAAGGTAAAGACACACTCACAAACGTTCTTTTTTTATGTACTCGGTAAACAGGACACACAACCCAAAAGCCAGTCTCCTGCCAGTTTGTTGAAAGCATCCTCACACTGGCGCACAGAGGCAAACAGGATGCACTCAAAAGGAGCACAAAAATATGTAAATAAACATTCACACAAACAAATATCCACTCATATACAGCATACGCTCACTTCAAACATGGACCCACCAAACCAAACACAGAGGGGGCTTTTTAGTGCTGTGCGTTAAGGCAGACCACCCAATGGCAGGCTAGAGAGACGCTGCCTTCTCTTCTCATAAGGTATTCTTGTTAACTCTCCAACATTTACTATGAGTCCTCTGTGTGTTTTGTGTGTGTTGGTTGCTTTGAACTGCGCCTTCTTGAGTGGGAATGTCTGAAATTACTATTCCAGATTGCCTTCGTTCATCCAGTCTCTAGAGAGGTGCTGTGGAGTAGTTCATTACAGTATTTTGACTGGAGGACACATACAAGTTATTGAGGAGCCAGGGACAAAAGGGTTCTCTTCTTCTTCTCTTTGTGTCTGGGTGCGTAAGCTCCCCCTGGCTGCTCCTCTAAATCACTGTTTTCCCCATATTTGAAAGTGCTGTGAAGGGCATTTCTCAGTACACTGTCAGGGTCCAGGCTCAGCCACAGCTCTGTCACTGTCCCTTACTAGGTCAGCCCTTGTTTTTCTACCTGTGTCCTTGGCTGGAGAGCAGACAGATTGACACACACACAAATACACACGTGACACCTTAATGCCTGCAGCAGGAGCCTAGCCACCCATGGGGATAACAGCAAGGGCACCCAGTACCTGTGCAGTATATCTCTGTCATGTGTGTGCACTTCTAGTAAGAACATAATGTGTACTGGAGCTTAAACTTTTGACCTGTGTCTCAGTGCCTGGCATGTGTACGTAACGCTGCCCTGTATCCTGTCTCCTCAGAGACTTGCTTAATACAGCTGTGTATATACACACATACACACACACGCATCCCTGTTTTTGTCACTTACCAAGTCCCTACATAGACATAGCATTCCATAACCTTAACCATAACCACTGCTTGCTCTAACTTTACACCACTTGTTTTTTCTAAAATTGACCAACTGTGTTGTGGGGACCGGCCTCCGGTTCTCACAAATGATGCTGGTCCATGTGAAACTAGTGTGCTCCCGGTTTTCTGAGCCCACAGATATAAAAATACAAGGCCACACACGTTGTGTTTCCATTACTTCAGTGGACATTACATCAACTTGCATTCATTTATTGGTGACTTTCCCTAACTTTAACCATAATACTACTTGCTGAACTTTAACCCTGTTCTTAAACCGAGTCATTGCTCTGAAATGTCATGATTTATATTATAGGGACATTATGTTAGATTACATTATGTTGTGGGGACTGGCTTTTTGTCCCCATAAGGACATGGAGTCCCCACAGTGTGACTGTCTAAACAGATTTACATCCCCACAACATGAGTAATACCAGGCCACACACATGCAGACGCACACACACACACACACACACACACACACACTTAAACTCACACCTCTAGCATGCGTACACACTGACAGTTGTGAGCTTCTCTCTTCTATCAGGAACACTTCCAACCAAGCTAACAAAATATAGTATATAGAGGCAGACACACGGGACATCTGTGTCTGACAGCCAGCACTTTAACTTCACCGCCTTTGTTTCATTCTAAATTCAATCTGCCACAATAGAGACAACAATATACGTTAATATACATGCTGACATACATGATTGTGTATTCTGTACATTACAGTGCAGCTCTAAATTATCAGGGCAGTCATACATTTTGTTATGTTAGCTCTGACTTCCAGCACATTGAATATGAAATGAAAAATTGAGTTAGTGGTTAAAATGCTGACTGCCAGCTTTAATTTGAGTGTTTACTGTACAAATGAACAGTGTGGGATTTATAGCCCTATTTATCCATAGTCCCATGTTCTCAGTGGATATAAAGTCATCAGACAAGCTTGCATACTCTCATCTGTATACTTTTATGTTTATGTTCTCATTTGTTAAAATTTTTATAGCACTCATAAAGCAGACAAGAAGTTTAAAAGAATAAATATTTACCCTGAAAACAGTGCCACTTTGAAAGTAGACTATTTAAGATAAAGTATTATTTTCTATTGCTAAACATTAAATATTTCTGCCTTTCTCTGTTCATCTTACAAAAATATAGAGCTACCCAACCACAGTATAAAGCTGATGCACACTGTCTAATATAATCTGCTGATTATTTTAAAATAAACACAAAATATCAGCTAGAGGCAAATGCTGGTGTGAAACAAGATGCACGTTTCTTTTTGTTGAGGCACACCTTCAGTTTGTTTGTCATGGGAATAACAAGAAAATCAACATGGCTGGCAGCCCAATAAAGAGCAAACTGGACTCCACAGAGCTCCAGCAAGTAGTCTGAGCTCCTGCAGAACACAGGGAAATGTGGCTTTGAAGTAACCGAGCATGTTTTTGGCAGCAATCAGTAGACAATTTAGTGACAATTGTAACTAAATTACATTGAGTCCAGATGTAACAAAATGCATGCAAAGTGTAAAATTAGGTTTGAGGGTTTTCTAATTTCTGCCTCTTGCTTCTTTTTTTTTCCCCACCAGTCCAAGTGCCCGGCCCTGCTCCCAACCTACAAGCGGTGTCAATCACGCCGTCCTCTGTCTCTCTGTCCTGGGACAAGCCCCTCACTGGCAACGGAGAGATCCTCACCTACAAGCTGTACTACACAGACAAAACCGTTGGCAGCGAACAGGTAGGATTCTGTATTCTGTATTCTTCCCATTAAAATGATCAACACATGTAGACAATTTGACATCTGTGTGAATTTATTATAGCAAAAAGGTTTCATGTAACTAAAATCGAAATGTGCTGTCAGTCACTGTAATGAAGGCAACGATTTTTGTTTAAACAGTTTAAACTCTTCTTTTTAAAGTTTTTATCTTTAGTTGTTGATCAACGTAAATTGCAGGTAAAGGTGCTTCACACGTTTTGTTCTCCACACTTGTTAAAGGAGAACTTCTGTGGATGGCTGATGTCGATTTTGCTGTGTTCGTCAGACAAAAAGATATGACTGCATATTAGTTTAATGTAAATGGTGATGAGGTATTTGTACTGCCATTTGGCCACATTCTTCATTACACATCTCACATAAAAGTAGATATTATGTGAAAAGAAGTAGATGTGATTCACCATCTCTGCGTGTCTAGCTGTCACAGGAGTGGAATGTCGCAGCTTATACATTGAGTCGGCCCCAGCAGTGGCAGTGTGCGAGCCAGCAAGGCATTAAAAAGTCTTTAATATGATAATGGATGAAACGTCAGCCAACACATTGAGTAATGATGCCTCAACTCCCTGGAGAAGAGAGCCAGAGATGAGGTGGAAAAGGCTAGAGGTGAAGAGACGGATGGAAAGAAAGAGAGGTGAAGGGAAGGGACAGAGGCGAAGTTAGAAAGATGCAGCGCTGAAAAGACATGAAATATTAAAGGTTAAGGGGGGAAATCAGGGACCACATGCCACTTCAAGGGTGGTATGGTCACAGGCCATCATCTGACCCAAGTTCAGAGGGTGCGACTGAACGGCTCAGGAAACAAGATTAGATTTCCACAAAGTCTCAGCTTCTTACTCAAAATGTCACAAGCAAAAAGCTGAATGTAAATTCACATGAGGTAATTGGGCATGTGCCAGCGTGCCCAATTTGTAAAGCAACAAGCTGTAATCACAGTAGGCATAATTTGTCTTGGTGGAAGATGAAATTTTTTACACAATTACAAACTGAAATATTAGTTTGATGAAATGATAAAAGCAGACATCACATTTTTTAGCTTTGCCATTTTGAGAGATTGCTTGGGTTGCTTTATTTACAGCAGCATATTCACAACATGTTTGCTTCCAAACCTGAAGCTGAAATCAAACTTGAAAGCTAAAATTGCGTGCTAAAATAGTAGCATATCCGCATCTGTCCAGCAGACTGTCAGTAGGGAAATGCTCAAATTAATGTATGATTTTTTTCCCAGCTGAAATGAAGATATTTTGTTATATCTGGAAATGTTTCAATGTATGAGTTGAAAACCTCAATTGGTAATTTGTAGTCGCACAAACTGATTTAGATTTTATGTCTCTCATCTTCCCTTCATCTTCCAGGACATTGACATAGACACTCAGTCCTACATCATGACTGGACTGAAGAAGAACACAGAGTACAGTTTCCGTGTGGTAGCCAACAACAAGCACGGTCCAGGTGTCTCCACTGAGGACGTTGTCGTTCGCACCCTGTCTGACGGTCAGTTGGTTCATTTAGAAGCTGGAACTAGGGAGTGTTCCCTGGAAAATAACCAGAGATTCACTTAACAAAAATAATTGCCATTTATTTTTTTTCTTGATCTGTAAATCGGTTGAGGAATTGTTTCAGCTTTGTATTGATTGTTTTTTTTTTCTGTTTACCAGTGCCAAGTGCCCCTCCTCAAAACCTCACGCTGGAGGTCCAGAACTCAAAGGTAAGACCTAATGAAAGACACACAGATTCTCAGATGCAAAACACAAAATGTACCTAAGCAAGACCGTTTGGTGTACAGTGGATGTAGAAGTATCGCCAAATCCACAAATACTCACTCGCTTGCACAAACAGATACTTAGCCTGCAGGCTAGAACATTGTTTTTTTCTCTGTGATTAGCTGCATCAGAGGCCTGTAGCCCCAGCTGCTTAAGAGGGGGTGTGAACTCTCATCGATCTACTCGCTGGCAGGAGCCTTGCCTGTCAGAAGGTTTTATCCTCTGGATTACTCTTCATAATATGTACAGTATCTGATAAAGAAACCTGCAGCACAAATCTATAGGGCACTTTGTTGTATTGTATTGTTTTTTGTATTTTAAACAGATAAAATTGCTGTTTCTGCTCATCAGTCGACAATCAATAACCCACAATTACAAAGTAAAAACATATTTTTAGAAGGTTTTGCAAATTTATTAAAGATCAAAAACTTAAAATCTCATTTATAAAGATAATCAGACCCTTAATTCAATGCCTTGAGTCTTCTTGGGTATGTTTCCACAAGTTTTGCACATCTGGGTTTGGGAAGGTTATTATAACCTCTCACACTCTGTCAGACTGGATGGAAGTATCAGTAAACTACCATCTTCAGGTCACTCCAGAGATGTTATGTGGGATTGTAGTCCAGGCTTTGGCCGGGCCACTCAGGGACAGTCAGAGACTGTCTTGGCTGTGAGCTTCAGGTCATTGTCATGCTGAAAGGTAAGCTGTCACATAGTCTCAGGTTGTGCACACTTTGGAGCATGTTTTCCTCAAGGACTTCTATTGGTGAATCCCAGTACCTTTAGTTTATCGTGCCTTATTTCTCAACCCTTGCTCAACCTGACAAGGGATGTCCCAAAGCTCTTATTTCTGCTCTGAGTAAGGAAGGTGTCTGGAGGAGCTATAACTGAGGATACACGAGTGCACCCTTTGGAGAAGTCTGTAAGAGAATGACATGCCCGTTTATCGGAAATCCGTTGATGATTGGATGCTTCACATGAAGGACTGGAGGAAAGGATGTCTCATGTCAGTTACAACACGTCTCCTCGGTTCCTCGCTCTTCATTTTCTCCTTGCATCTTACATGTGCGGGACTAAGGCACAAGGAAAAGACGCAAGTGAGGGAAACGTGGAAGCAGTTAGTGGAATTGGAATTGACCTTATGTTTGGCTACATTAACCTTCCTGATTCTGACCAGTCTTCTCTCCTGGCTGCTGAGGAGCATCCCCATAGCAGGATGCTGCCGCCACCGTGCTTCACTGTAGGGATGGTATCAGCCAGGTGATGAGCAGTTTGACAGCTGTTGATTGGAAAAAAAACCTATTCAGTATAATGTCTTTTGACCCATACATTGCCTATTCACAGCTCTTTGGGTTACAATCTGCAAAGCATGTTTTTTAGGTGACAGTATAAATAGAACAAATCCACAATAGATTTCAGTGTATGAAAGTGAAAATTGTGAAAATTGGGTCAGAGATAAATGGATCAAATATCTGACAGCCCAGGCAATAACTCCAGAGGTTTTAGACTTAAGTTTCTAGGTTTAGTCAGATGTATTATACAGTATTTAAATATACTATGCTTCTTGTGTGACAGTCTTGATTACATAAGACTGCTGAGGTGGCTGCAGGCTTCACAACAGGCTTCCTGACAAGAAGTTGATCTCTGAACAGAGATTTCAACCAAATCATGGATTAAATTTTACAAATGATGTTTCCCATTTATGCCATGTGAGGCAGCAAGTGCAAACAGAGAGCAGCAAGGGGAGTAGATACAGGAAACCCTAGGGGTACATGCATTGAGTACAAAAACAGCAGGAGGCATTTTAGCCCTTTGCTGGTTGAAGCAGAGCCTGAGTAATAGAGAACTGTCAAAGCGGGCTAGGAAGAAAAAACTGGTAGACAATCCTATCACACACTCCCACCTTGAGTGAGAACTGACCACCCATGCTGAGGGAAACTCAGCTGAGATTTGTGGAGAGAAAACACTCGTGCTAATGTTGAGAGTAAAATGAAGAGGGTTCACACTGTGGAAAGGACAGGAGTTGTTTTCTGAATGGATGATGTGCATCCAGCTGTTCAACCCCAGTTAGACCCAGACAGACCAATTTAAATCCATGAAAGAAACACTGGGTATCCTTTACTCTTAAATGTTATTAAAGTTAGTTGTTGATCTTTTGTTGTCGTTGCGTTTAATTGTGAACATAAACATTACATCAGTAATTCCAGTGCAAGTATATACTATAGATACAATTTATGCAATTAGCCGTTTGATACGCCCAGCCAAATGGAACTGGAAAAAACTAATTAACTTCCATCTTTTATTTGGTCTCCTCTTTGGGTCTTGTCAAGCAGCACCTCACATCTTTTACCTCAAGGCAAGGCAACCTGAAAATCATGTTTTTGTGATCTTATTTTACACCTTTTTTTTTCAGCATCTGCCTTCTCGCCTTCCCTTGTGATTTTCCAAAAGTCAATTAAACAGGTTTTCATGATTAGGGAGAACAGGGAAGGAAAGCAACATGCATAATGAGTCAGGGCCGATAGTGTAATAAGAAAAATGGAAATAACTGAAGACACTTAACACAAATTTAATTTGTGCTGTTCCCTTGACTCGGCTGGGGAGGAGCGTTTGTGTGCCCTGTACATGTATTCGAGCTTTTGTGCATCAGTGTGACAGTGGGGAAGCATTAATTAACTTTTAAACCACGCTGAGCTACCCCCCACCTATCTCTCTAAACACACACACACACACACAAACTCAGATGCATGAATCCCACAACATGCTGCGTGGGTGTGCCAGCAAAAGTCGAGCATTCATCTCTCTGCTGGTCTCTGCAGGGTTAACCTGACTACACATTCTCACACACCCACATTCATACCCTGCTCATCAGGACACCTTCTTCTTTTATTCATGTGTTTATTTCTTCCTAATGCATCAGTCTGTGCTTCATCACTCATGCTTAGAGGGGTGTTTGTTTTTGCGGGGAGCCTTGTCAGGAGCAGCAGAGTGGCAGGTGAGGGAGGGTTTCTGATGAGCAGAGTCAGAAACCTGTAGGATTGTGTTAACACAAATGCCTATGTGGGATGTGTGATGCTACCTGCTAAACCAGGAGGTCACTTTTACAGCTGCACGCCCACAGGCACATGGTCCCACATGTGCTAAACATCTTTTGTTTCATCTGACTCATGCCTTGATTTTCCTTCCCTCAGAGCATCATGCTTCGCTGGCAGCCCCCTCCTCTTAACAGCCAGAACGGGGAGATCACAGGCTACAAGATTCGGTACCGGAAAGGATCCCGGAGGAGTGAGGCAGCTGAGACCACCGGAGGCACCCAGCTTAACAAGCTCATTGATGGTAATGGATGGGGACTTAGATGCTAGCTCCTCTATCATGGGTAATATCAGAATAAAACTCTACTAGCTGTATTATCAGTCTGAGATGTTCACTAGATCCAGCAGAGATGGACAGTAATTCACATCTGGCATTATAATACATTGAATTTAATTTTACTTTTCTGCACAGAAAACATTTATGTTATATGCAACCTGCAACTACAAAAACAGTATTATCACTGGATGGATACATGC